GTAGAACCACACTACAACGAATTGTCACTCGAAATTCTCTAGTGTATGTGTGTATGCTCCTCTAGTGTATGTGACATATTCCTCAGGAAAGACCAGCTTATTGTAAAAATTACGGCCTTTTTTCCCATATACCAGCTTTCTTTGCAAGGGGTCTTGTTTGATTTGTGGATTTTGAAAGGAATGGGACAAACTGTTTTGATGGTATAAGAAAGGTAATTGTTAATGGTATACAGAAGTAGAACTGAGGGCATGTGGAAGTGTAACTGAGGGTACGACAAAGGAAATAGGGTTAAAGAGAAAGTGAGTTTATCTGTGCTGGGGTGAGAGCAACCCCCCACACCATTCCCCCACGAGCAGAACTTGGTGAGAGAGAGTGAGATGCAGACGGAGACTTTTGCTGTAAACAGCATGACTTGCAAAAGGGGAGGTGGAGAGGAGAGGGCACTATTAAAGCCAGCAGAGCTGTGCAATATTCCACCATTAAACCTAGCAGAGCTGTGCCAATGTATCACCACTAAACCCGGAAAAGCAGTGCTACCATTAAACCCAGCAGAGTGGTGCCATGTTTCACCATTGTTGGAAGCTGTCATCTATTAATGAGAAAGCTGAATTCGGACGATATCGGCATCGGAACGGCACTGCTTCGCTCTCAGCTGCACTTGCGGCGAACCACTCCGGAGCGTTTGCCGTTGCTGCCCGAGAAATCGTGCTTCTCCCTGGTTGCCGCTTCCAGCCTCCAACAGCGGTCTCTTATTTCTCGATCACTAAGAAATGGCGTCTGAAGCCGGCAGCTATTTTCCGAGATGTGGGCTCTTCTTCGCACATTGGAAAGGAGCGGTTTGGACTTCGCTGTGTGTACATATATGCAGAAAGCACTACGCTTGGCTCCGAATGTTGTGCCCGTGCCTGGTTTTGTGCTTTCTTATCTCTGGTCTGAAAATAGAAAAAAAAGCTGTAATTGATTCCATCAGCTGTTTGAATAATCAACTTGGCAAGATTCCCTTACATGTGTTGTTTGTTAATCCACGGAATCCTGTTTGCTTTCTCTCTCTTTTTTTAAAAAAAATTCTTGCAATGTTTGGACAAGTATCAGCATTTCACACAGCCCCCACCGTTCTCTGCTCTCCCAACAGAAACTTTGCAGTCTGCTTTTTAAACAAATGTTTACATTTTCAAACACATGTAGCAATGGTTCCGCTTACGTCTTGCTATTTTCTCACAGCTTCAGATCTGCTTATTTTCATAGAGGCTGATGGGAATGAGAGGTGCACATCCCTGTGTTACTGTACTGTTCGTGTTTGTTTGCAGTGTGAATGTGAGAGCTATTATTTCAGGTAAGTCAGCCGTGTGCTGATGATGACCAAGTCTGGCATGGCTCTGTGCAGGGCTGTGCCATATATATCCGTTTGAGCCAATGTCTATTTCTGCTTGGAAAGATTTGAGACAGTTTTTTAGTTTTAGGTAGATTTTGAATTGAAAAATGAAATATTTGTTGTGGTACTTGTAGAATATTGTGGCTAATGAGACATACATTGAGCTATGCCTATGTTCAGTTATTTCAACATGTGCATATCTATGTGTACAGTAATAACAATGCCTTACCGTGGCACTAGAAACATAGATCCCATTTATCAAGCTTTCCATCTTCTCAATCTACTCCTTCTTTATTTTACTTCTTAGTTATTTTCAATTCCTAATGCAGTTAACACTGGGTTTTCAGTGCTTCATGTGAAAAGAACAGAGGGTAATTCATAGAATCACATAATAGAATCATAGAGTGGCTTAGATTGAAAGGGACCTTGGAGAATATTGAGCTCCAACCCAGCTCAGTGGGTTGGCCAAGCACCATGAAGTTCTGGATAACATTCAGCAGCTTGAACCTTTGTGGCAAGTCAGGTGCCCCCAAGTATTGGAGAGACCACTGAGTGAGTTGCAGAGCATCAGCTGATGGAGCAGCTTGCAGACTAGCTGCAAGAGCTCAGTAGTGCTGTCTCTGTTCTGCAGCACAGCACGGTGAGCCTCTCTGCCTCCATAACTTCTAGCATCTTTCCACCTCTTTGTTTTAAGAATGACACTGATAGAGTTAATTGTGCAGATTAATTATTGGCTCTCCTTTACAAGGAAAAGTTGATTGACTTGGACTGGGCACTGACTAGTAAGCATGACCTGTTAGATAGGTTATATAGAAGAGTACTACAGTTTTAACCAACTTCCTGTGTTTTCTATTAAACATACAACTTAGAAACCTAAAAGTACTAATTTTCATGCATTTCATGATTTCAATATGGTGAATATCTAGGGATAGAGCTTGATAACTAATATAGAAAAGCCTTAATATGGAAATATCATAGAATCATAGAATCACCAAGGTTGGAAAGGACCTCCAAGATCATCCAGTCCAACTGTCCACCTATCACCGGTATTTCCTACTAAACCATGTCTCCCTGTACAACATCTACACACTATTCACAAGTAACTGCTATGAAGCTAACATGTGAGGAAACTATGGAAAATAAAGTTAGCAGACTTGTCTCAAGTTATGTACCACCTCTTTGTACAACTCAGCACTGCTTGGACATACATCCAAACTCACAGTGGTACATACATCTGAGCCTCCATACAGATCTCCTGTTGTGAAATACTGTGTGAATACTAATTGGAGACTTGAAGCAGAGAGCAGATGTTACTTACTGGCCTTAAACAACCGTCTAACAACGCCATCCAGAACTTCCCATTTGGTCTTCCCACTCACTCCAATGCAGCCTATGAGAAAGGAGCGAGGCCTTGAATTCTAAATGCAAACAAACATGGATTTATTTAGTTAACAAATAAATCTTTACGGTGTCAGTCAAGTCTGTTTAAGATTAAAATCTTGGTGTAGTTGTGTTGCTTCTTTACTTCACAGTAAAATCTGAATACCATACAAAATTCTTCTTTTCCCTATAAGTTTCTCACAGTGTTGGAGACTCAAATCTAGGGAATGCTTCAGTGGTACCCAGTGATAAGTTAAAGGCATTTATTAATAAATCCACAAACAACTCCAAAACCCCTGAGAAGATTACAGCTTATCAAAAAGCATGTGGGAAAATTCTAGGCAGACATTCACAACATGCGTTTGTCCATGATTTCACAATCCAAAATGTAGCACTTCCAAGATTTATCTGATTTACTTCTAGAAATGCTGCATAGAAACGTGCATAGAAATATAGTGACATTCTAGATATGTCTGTAATGTGTGCATTACATTCAGTATATTATAGCATTTCGCTTCTGATTTCTACAGCAGATAAAGAAAATAGAATGTACTTCATTTTTTTATTCCTTCATAGCTGCACTCACTGTGAAACATTCACTGAAGAAAAACTATTTGTCATAAGGCTCCAAGTTCAGCTAAAATGTCAAGAATCATTTCCACTACTAACAGTGCACTCAGTGGAGTCCAAGAGAATTAGCAACACTGTTTTACTGTTAATGTGCTTGCCCAGGGCTGCAATTTATTGAAGGAAAATTGGTATTTAATGGAAAGATCAGCTGAGCTTTGTTTCTGCTCATTCAAATGTTTGTCCTCTCTTACAAATGATATCAAATTATTTCATAATTTATGAAACACGCACAAGCGCATACACCTTATGCACTTTTACAAGTGCTCAATGCGAGGCAGTAATGTCACTGCAGTACATTTGTGCATGAATACTCACATGAAGTGGGCTGCAATTTGACAAAATTTGTAAACATATTGAAGATTTTTTACATTACTTGAGAATGAAGAACATCTTTTGTTTGAATACATGAAGGGCTGATGGAATCAATTACAGCTTTTTCTTCTCTTTTCAGACCTGACATAAGAAAGCACAAAACCAGCAGCAGGTTTTGCCTAGTGTTTTGCAACATACATCACTCAGTTGAGATTACAATTAGCTCAGCAGTGCAGGAAAGAATAGAAGGTGAGTTCTAGCTCATCGTAAATATGCATGAAGAGTGCCCATGTCA